GGGGGAGAGGAGGAGGAGGAGGAGAGGAGAGGAGAGGAGAGGAGAGGAGACGCGGGGCGCTGTCTCTTCAAAACGAGGACCCAACACCACAGGATGGTTGGGAAAAAACCAAGGATTGCAAAAAAAACAAGGATTTCAAAACAACGAAGGTTTTGCAATCCTTCGTTTTTTTGCAATCCTTCGCTGAAGGGGAGGAGGGAGAAGAGCAGCCGTCCCCACTGGCCGCCGGAGAGCCGAGCGGTGGCCTCAGTTGCCCTGGCCACGCCCGTGCGGAAGCGCACCACGCACCGTGCTGGAAACGTCCGCGTGAGCACGCTGCGTGTTGCCTCGGCACGGGATGGCCCTCGTGTCGGCGGACGCGTCGCGCCCGAGCTGCGTCCTCCGGCCACGAACGCTGGAAAACTCCGTGCCAATGATGCAGAAACGAGGGATGGCATGAACATAACAACTCGGGAGTCCGTGCGGACTCTTCTGGGATCCGCGCTGCCCCCCCCCCCCCCCTTGGGGCGCGGAGCGCGCCAGTGAAGGCGCCAGAGGCGCCGCCAGGAGGGTCCAGCGCGGATCCGAGAAGAGTCCGCGCGGACCTCCGAGTTTCTATGTTCATGTTATTCTTCGTTCCCCCCTGGAATTAAGTCGGGCGTGTCCCTCTACAGGAGGAAGATTCAAACATAGCGAAAAAATAGTCTGGAGACTATTTCTACAATTTTTGAATTTTGTTGGGGCATGTTTGGCCTATGTTTTATTTGTCGCCCAAAATCCCCCTGTAGGGGGACAGGCCCGACTTCACCCTAATGGAGGATGACGATTAATAAATGACCGGGAGTCGTGTTCACGCGGCGGCGCCCGGGATGACGATTAGAAAAAACCAGCCGCGGGCTGGAAAACTGTTCTTTTTAGTCGTTCCTCTCCAGTCAGAAAATGATGCAGAAATAGCAGAAGACTATGTTTTAATCCTTCTCTCTAATTTTTTACTAATCTTCATCCCGCATTAAGTGAGCTGCGTGCTGCGCGTCGTTGCAGCTCAGGTTCTGCGGCCCGAGCGCCCAGGCCTCGGGCGGCGTCGGTCAGCCCAGTCTGCTTCCATCGGGGCACGAAAAATGGCACGAAGGATTGCAAAAAAAACCAAGGATTGAAGGATTGCCCCCCCCAAAAAAAAACCTCGTTCGAACGAAGGATTGCAAAAAAAAAAAATAAAATAAAAATGCAATCCTTCGTTCAAGGTTGTTTTTTTTGTTATCCTTTGTTTTTGTTGCAATCCTTAGTTTTTGTTTTTGTTTTTGCAATCCTTCGTTAGCTCGAAGGTCAGACGCTGCTCCCAGATGGCCAAAGATGCGGATGCGGCGTCGATCAGCCCACTCTGCTTCCACCGGGGCACGAAGAATCACATGGTTAGCTCGAAGGTCAGTCGCTCAGCCCACGCTGCTCCCAGATGGCCGAAGATACGGCGTCGATCAGCCGACTCTGCTTCCATCGGGGCACGAAGAATCACATGGTTGGCTCCCAGATGGCCGAAGATGCGGCGTCGATCAGCCCACTCTGCTTCCATCGGGGCACGAAGAATCACATGGTTGGCTCGAAGGTCAGTCGCTCAGCCCACGCGGCTCCCAGATCGCCGAAGATACGGCGTCGATCAGCCCATTCTGCTTGCATCGGGGCACGAAGAATATCGTGGGTGGATAGACCTCCTACCCTGACGCGTCGATTAAGGAATTTGCCGTTTTCGCTTCGTGAGGGGGCGTCGCGGCCGTCATTTTCGTGGGTCCAGGTCCGTCGGTTTCGGTCGCGCTCCGCGCGCCAGGGAGGGGGGCCCTGCGCGGATCCGAGAAGTCCCGCGGACCTCCGAGTTGTCATGTTTATGCCATTCTTCGCTCCCCTAGATGAGCTGCGTGCTGCGTGTCGCGTATCCGAGCAGCTGAGGCTCGACGGCCCGAACGCCCGAACGCCGAAGATACGCCGTCCATCTGCCCGTTTTGCTCCCAGATCGCCGAAGATGTGGTCAGAAACTCTCGGATAACGTGTCGCGGTGTGCCGGCCCAGCGCGCCTCGGCGCGACAACAAGCTGTCCACTTCCGGGCCTCTCCGAGCGTCGACGCCCCGTGTGCCTCTCCGAGGCCCCCCGGGCCGCGGAGCGGAGCGACGCGCTATCCGCTCGCAAGGCGCAGCATGAAGTCGGACTTGTCCCTGCACAGGAGGAGTATGCATCAGGGGCATAAAAAAACGCCCCCCACCCTGGTTTATGAGGCGCTCTGCGCTGAACCTCCGGCGGGCTGAAAGGGTAAACCCTGCGAATCGCGCGTGCCGCGCGGCGTCTTGGCGGCTCTCTGGCCTGTGGGAGCTCCCAAGAGGTGTACTGACTTCGCGCTTGTAACCCAGGGTGGGGGCGTTTTTTTATTCCTCACATGCAAAAATAACCCAAAATAGCATGGGCACGAGTTCCGATTTGTTCATCATGTTGGAATATGTGTTGAGTATTGTCTTGCTTTTCTTCCACAGTGCGACTGTAGGAGGACACGCCGTTTGGAGGCCGCACCCCAAGCTACACTGCTACCTGGTCGTGGATTGGACTACCACCCCGGGCCTCCTCGGCATCATCTGGTGGCGCAGCGTTGCTCATCGCCTTCGTAGTGTTTTTCTTCCTCCTGGGCGTCGACCTGGTCAAGTGGCGCGTCCTCCCCTGCAGTGCTTGAGGCTGGTGTTCGCGAAGTGCCGTTGACGGCACCTCGCGAACACCAGCCCATAGGGTTTAGGGTTTAGGGTCTACTAGGCGTGGCCACGAGTACACCTGGACCGCGAACCCACCTGCGGTGGCCGTCACTCCCACCCGCACGCCACCCCACCATAAAGATCATCTCTCCCCTCGGTATAACCACAGGGAGTGCAACGTCGACGACGACGACGACGACGGCGACGACGGATGTGCGATCCAGTTGGCACGCGAGTGCTCTAACGGGCGTAAGATTATGCGCGCATGCGCAGGAAGCGCGAGGTTGTCCAGGAGATGGAGGCGGTGTACATAAGGGGGTCGCATTCTGCACACATGCTCAGGATGAAGCATGTTCAGGATCAGGACATGTTTTTTTGCAGTAGATGGAGCGGGTTTACATAATGGGGTTGCAACGGGGGCTGGGCACTTTGTGCTGTTAAAAATTAAAAAATTCTGCACGCATGCGCAGGAAATGCTATTTTTCGCAATAGATGGAGAAGGGGTCGCGACGGGGGCTGGGCACTTAGTGTTGTAAAAAAATGAGAGATTCTGCACGCATGCTCAGAACATGCTATTTTTTGCAGTAGATGGAGCGGGGTTGCATACGGGCCGCTTTTTCAGTAATTCTGATTTAATAATTATAGGATTAGAGACTTAGGGTTTAGGGTCTACTAGGCGTGGCCACGAGTACAACGTGACCGCGAACCCACCTGCGGCGGCCGCCATTCCCACCCGCACGCCACCCCACCATAAAGATCATCTCTCCCCTCGTGAGAAGCGCATCGAATACAGCGTCGACGACGACGACGACGACGACGACGGCGACAACGGATGTGCGATCCAGTTGGCACGCGAGTGCTGTAACGGGCGGGACGAGTCGGGTCGGGCGGAAGAGGTTCTGTACGCGTGCGCAGGAAACGCTAGTCGGTGGAATCGGTAGATCGGGTCGCAACGGAAGGTACTTTGTATTGTAAAATACATGAGATTATGCGCGCGTGCGCAGGAAGTGCATTTTTAGGTGGAGCTGGTTTACATAAGAGGGGCGCACTTTGTGCTGTAAAAATTAAGGATTCTGCACGCATGCTAAAGACATGCTGTTTTTGGCAATAGATGGAGGGGGATCGCGACGGGGACTGGGCACTTTGTGTTTTAAAAAATGAAAGATTCTGCACGCATGCTCAGAACATGCTATTTTTGCAATAGATGGAGCGGGGTTGCATACGGGCCGCTTTTTCAGTAATTCGGATTTAATAATTATAGGATGAAGAATTTAGGGTTCAGGGTCTACTAGGCGTGGCCACGAGTACACCGTGACCGCGAGCCCACTTGCGGTGGCCGTCACTCCCACCCGCACGCCACCCCACCATAAAGATCATCTCTCCCCTCGCTATAACCACATCGAATACAGCGTCGACGACGACGACGACGACGGCGACAACGGATGTGCGATCCAGTTGGCACGCGAGTGCTGTAACGGGCGGGAAGAGTCGGGTCGGGCGGAAGAGATTCTGCACGCATGCGCAGCGAAGGCTATTTTGTGGAGTGGGTGGTTCGGCGCGCAACGGGAGGCATTTTGTATTGTAAAATACAAGAGATTCTGCACGCATGCGCAGGAAGTGCTATTTTTTTGCTGTAGATGGAGCGGGTTTACATAAGAGGGGCGCACTTTGTGCTGTAAAAATTAAGGATTCTGCACGCATGCTAAAGACATGCTATTTTTGGCAATAGATGGAGGGGGATCGCGACGGGGGCTGGGCACTTTGTGTTGTAAAAAATGAAAGATTCTGCACGCATGCTAAAGATATTTTTTGCATAGGATGGAGGCGGAACGCGACGGGGGCTGGGCACTTTGTGTTGTTAAACATATGATTTGTTACACGCATGCTGAGGAAATGTTTTTTTTTACCGTAGATTGAGCGGGGTTGCGTACGGGCCGCTTTTGCAATAAGTAGGATTGAATAATTATAGGAATAAGAATTTAGGGTTTAGGGTTTTGCCCGCCAAGCGGTGTGGGCGCGCGCACGCATCCCACCCCCACATCAAGATTGTTGGGGGTGGGGTGCTGTGTGCGCGCTCGCGTTGCTTGTCCTCCCGCCCCAATCCACCCCGGCTATTCTCTTTTAGGGTTTAGGGGCACAGAGAGTTCTTCCCCCCAGCCCCCACTCATGGGGGTGTCGAACACCACGTCGTCTCACCTGAGAACGCGCAGGCGCTGTAACGCATTGGGGAACAGCCTCCAGGTTTAGTTCGCGCGTTGGGGAACGCCCGACCGGGCGATCTCTTCCGACTCTCGCAGGAGCGGTTCTGCGCGGTGGCGCACGCGCAGCGGTTTGCCGGCCAACGAGGTGTCGTACCTTGTGGCCCATGTTACGCTGGCGACGCCAGAACCGCGCCTGCGCGCTCTTTTTCGATGCCCAGGCGCGCTGGCGAGCGCATGTGGCGATTGAAGTAGACTTACGCAGATGCCTCAATCTCAGAAGCGATCGTGGTGGGCCACGACAAAGGGGACCAGCTCGCCGGACGCTCCGCGGCTCGCGCGCGCGCGCAAGGTTCCCGCGCTGACACCACGTCGTCCTAGAGTCTCCGGGGTTCGTTCGCACGTTGGGGGACGCCCGACCGGGCGACCTTTTCCGATTCTCGCAGGAGCGATTCTGCGCGGTGGCGCACGCGCAGCGCTTTGTCTCGGATGGCGGGAGGGGGAGCTCGAGGGGGCGGGCCTGGCGCCCCTTCGATGCGACGCACCAGGCAGCGCGTCGCGTGCGTCAGCCAGCCGGCCGTCCGGCCGTCGAGTGTATTCCTTATCGCTGAATTACGTTGCGACGCCAGAACCGCGCCTGCGCGCTCCTTTTCGGCGCGCAGGCGCGCTGGCGAGCGCATATCGCGATTGGGGTAAAATTACGCATATGCTTCAATCTCAGAGGGGATCATGTTGCGCCGCGACAACGGGGACCAGTTCGCCGGACGCTCCGCGGCTCGCGCGCGCGCGAGGTTCCCGCGCTGGGAACTCCTTGGGAGCGCTTGGGGAGCCTCTGGGACGCGTGGGAGCGCCTGGGGAGCGCCTGGGAGCGCGCCCAGGTGCGCTGGGAGCGCCTGGTGGGCCCCTGGCAGCGTTTTCCTAGGTTTTCCTTGGTTCCTGGGGGATCTTGCGGTCCCGCTGGTGTTGGGTTCCGGCTTTCGGGTTTTTCTTTCCTGCTACGCAGGTAGCCTGTGGCGTAGCCAGCCTGAGGCGTGGCGTGTGGGCGGTCGAGCTTAACCTCTCCCTTTCCGTAGATCCTTCAGGCGCTCCACTGGACGTTCCGACCAAGGTTCGCATGCGTCTGGGGCATCCCGACAGCGACGCGTACTTGAGTTATATATATATATATATATATATATATATATATATATATATATATATATATATGAGCTGGTTGTTCCCGAACGGTGCTGCCACCCAGGGGTTCCTACTCCGGTTCGATAGTATTTCGATAGCTGCGGCGAGGTTCCGCCCGGTGCCCGCCCGAGGCCGCCCGTGGATGCTCTGTGCGCTTCGCCCGGCGCTCGCCCGTGGGCGCTTCGTGCGCCGGGTGGGTGCAGCGAGGTCTGGCGCCCGCCCGTAGCCGCCCAATGGGCGCCTCGTGGGCTGGGTGGGTGCACCGAGGTTTCGTTTGGTGTTAAGTCGGACATGTCCCCCTGCAGGGGGGAATATTCAAATATAAACAAAAAAGTCAGGATATGATTTTGTTTTACGATTTTTGAACATCCAGGGGCATTTGTTGAGTATGTTTTACTCCGCCCAAAAAGCCCCTGCAGGGGGGCGCGCCCGACTCAAGCCTCGTGCTCGATTCAGTGCGTCTCTGGAGGTCCTGGAGGAGTGCCTGGCCTCCCACGGGGCGAGCCCCCCCCTCTTCAGTGTTAGGTCGGGTCTGTCCCTCTACAGGAGGAATGATAAAAAAATATGTTTAAAAAAGATAGTCTGGGGACCATTTGTTGATTATTCATTTTGGAACATGTTTTGCCAATTGTTTAACTTTTCCTCGAAGTTGCCCCTGTAGGGGGACAGGCCCGACTTAACCTCAGTGGCGAGCCCCCTTGGCACCGGCTGGCCTCCCTGACTGCGGCCCCCTCTCAGTGGTGACCCCTCCCCCCATCCCGGACGGACCCCAGAGCCCCCCAGAATTTTCCCGGAGACGCCTAGACGCGCCCAGAACCTCGCCCACCGCCCTCGCTCCTGCCCCCGCCTTCGCTCTCGATCTCCCGGAGGCCGGTGGTGTTCCCCCCCACCCCCCCGCGGCCGGAGTGGGGGCGATGAGGAGGAGGAGGAGGAGGAGGACGAGGAGGAGGAGGGAGGAGGAGGAGGAGGAGGAGGAGGACGAGGAGGAGGAGGAGGAGGAAGGAGGAAAGGAGGAGGGAGGAGGAGGAGGAGGGAGGAGGACGAGGGAGGAGGAGGATATCTGACGCCTTTGGCGAAAGTTACTGCCCCCGCATCGCCGCGGCCCCCCGCAGGGCGAGCCCGCGCCCCGAGCCCGGGCGCCCCCGCCGCCCGCGGAGCCGCCGGCGGAGCCGCGGCAGCCCCGCCCCCGGCGCGGCCCGCGCAACGCGCTCGGCTGACCCGCGGGCCGCGGCGGGGGCCCCTTTCGGTCGGGGGCGGCCAGACGGGGGGCGGCCAGGATCAGGAGGGAAAGAAGCACACAGACGCAATTAATCGTCGACTCCCCAGAAAATATGGGAAAATATAGGAAATGGGGGGGAAGACAAAAACCCCGAAAACATTGGAAAATACGGGGGATTTTTTATTTGTGTGTATTTATTTGTGTGTCCTGGGGCCCCTTCACAGGAGGAGGGGGGCCACTGGAAGCGCCCAGTAACGCACGGGAGTTCACAGGAATTCCAGGGATGTCGTGGCCTGGGCCTTATAAAACCTTGCAATCCCCCCAGTCTCGGGGGTGGACAGAACCCCCAAGAGTGACACGTCGATTCGTGAATTGTCCGTTTTCGGTTCTTCGGTCGGGGGCGGCCAGGAGGGGGGCGATGACTGCACGCGGGCAGCTGACTTGGCATCGCTTGGACGTGCGCATGTTTTCTCGGCGAGAACCATCGAGGACCATCCTGGACCATCGAGCAAAAAACACGCACGAAACCGAAACATGCACGGGAAATGTACGTCCGAGCGACGGCAAGGCCGCCGGCGGAGCCGCTGCAGTCCCGCCCCTGGCGTGGCCCGCGCAGCGCGCTCGGCTGACCGCGGGCCGCAGCGGGGGCCCCTTCGGTCGGGGGGCGGCCAGGAGCTTTGTGGGCCCCAGAAACGGCAGGGCCGTTTTTTCACCGTTTCCGAAAAAATGTCCCTTGAAAATGGAAACGGCAAAAAAAACGGCGACCAGAAACGGCAAAAAACGGCTCCAGGATTGGAGCCGGAGCCGGAACCGGTTAAAAAACGGCGGCGGAACCGGTAGAAAAACGGCGTCGGAACCGGCAAACAAACGGCAACACGGAACCGGTAACAAAAACGGCCTTGTCGTTTCCAGGGCCCACTAAGGCCAGGAGGGGGTGGACAGAACCCCCGAGAGTGACACGTCGATCAGTGAATTGTCCGTTCTTGGTTCTCGAGGGGGCGCCGTGGCCGTTCTTTTCCAGGCCTGCGCCCGCCAGGTTTGGGCCTCAGGCCGTTTTCACCAGACCACGTTTCACTTAAGGGGGGTCTGTTCATCCCCGAGGCCAGGAGGGGGGCGATGACTGCGCGCGGGCAGTTGAAGGTATCCAGGCCTCCTGGATGGGGTCCGAGTAGACGGGGTCGGGGGATCGTGCCGCATCGCCGATGCATCGCCGACGCGATGCGGAGTCCGATTTGCTTCAAGACGACGTCGCCGATGCATCGCCCACGTCGCCGATGCATCGCCGATGCATCGCCGATGTATCGGCGATGCGGCGCGATCCTCCGACCCCATCCACTCCGACCCCATCTAGGAGGCCTCTAAAGTAGGTGTGTTTGAATGCCCAGGTCGGAATCTATGTCGAGCGCCCTCCTACTCTCAAGAATCGACGAAAAGGCTTTTGCTTTGTTGTCGTCTTCGCCGGGAAGGGCTGAACCCAATCTGCTCCGTCCGCCCTCCCACCTCATGGTTCTACCTACTTCTTCCGACCGGCGTGCAGGGTGGATGTGATTAGCGTGGCGGGGCCATGATATCTCCTCGGATTTCATGGCGCCGCTTCTTGTTTCATTGCGTCCCCGGCCCCCCCCCCCTGGGCCGTGTAAATGACGCTGGCCTCGGAGGCGGCAAAGAGGGGGGTGATGACCAGGGGGGGATATCATGGCGGGAGCCATGATATTTCCCCAGATTTCATGGCGCCTCTTCTTATTTCATTACGTCCCTGCCCCCCCCCGCTGGGCCGCGCACGTGCCGCCGGTCATGATTTGCACCGCCCCCTCTTGGACACCCCCCTCTTTGGCCGCTCCCGATGGCCATGATCTGCCCCTTCCCCTCGTGGACGCCCCCATCCTGGACGCCCCCCGATTCGGCCGCAGACCGTGCAGAGCGCGCCCCGCGGCAAGGAGTCGGGCGCGAAAAGAGAGTCGGAGGAGGACGAGGCACCGGTGGCGCTGCCCGTCCCGGAGGGCCCTCGTCGTCACGGCTGGCTTCTCCTCGAATCTGGCGATCGCGCGCGTGGATCAAGGGGGCGTGGATTAGCGACGGGTCCCGTTTCCATGGGAAATCTCCTACTCCTTGAGCTCCCTTTCCTTCTCCTTGTGGTCCTCCTGCTCCTCCTGCTCCTCCTGCTCCTCCTGCTCCTCCTCCTCCTCCTCCTCCTCCTCCTCCTCCTCCTCCTCGCGGATTTCCGCCGACGAGCGAGGCGGCACCGGCCGCATTTTGGGGAAGGCACCTCCCCCGACCCATGGATTTGGCGACCGCGCGCCACATCCACGGGTCGCTAATCCATGCTTGCGCGCCCCCGATCGAAGTTCTGACCAGAATGCACCCCAGGAGAGGCACGGGGAATTAGCGATATCGGTCTTGTTCGTCCCCTTACAGAAGGATGGGCGAGGCGGTCTTCGGGGCAAACAGGTATCAACGGCACGCCGCCAGTGGGAGCGCCTCAGCGTGATGCTCCCCGGTTTTTCCCGGCGGGCCTGTGCCGATTTGGGTCCCCGTTTTGAGTCAGCGGCGCCTGGCGGCATCCTTCCGTCCTCGCCTCCTCCCATCCTCCCTTCTCTCTCCCACCACCCCACATTTGCGCACCCCTCGCACGCTTCGTGGCCGCAAAATGGGAGCTCCACCTGAGGCCTCAGCGGCTGCGTTCGCATGCCGCCGCCACCCCGCTTCTGGTTGCCCCCCCTCACGCTTCGTGGCCCCAAAGAGAGCTCCAACTATTAAGGCCCCAGTGGCTGCGTTCGCATGCCGCCGCCGCCACCCCGCTTTGGCGCACCCCTTGCACGTTTCGTGGCCCCAGAAGGAGCTCCACCGAAGGCCCCAGTAATATGGGACGTGAAGGGGGAGACGCGGACCCCCAAAAGATGCATATGTGAAAGGGAATCCCAGGATCCGTGTCTACTTATTTGTGTGTCCCTCGGCCCCTCAAGTTCTTCATGTACCTTCGAAGACCCACGGGACTGCATAAGCAGAAACGCTCGCCCGACCCGTGCTCTCTGCACTCTGTCGTGCGCCGGGGTCGGTGCCAGAGACGCCGCGCATGGGCCCCTTTGCCGGGGAGGGGGGGCCCAGGCTGGCGAGCGGTTCCCCATTTGCGAGCGACGAGAAACACCCGTGGCGCCGGTGTGAGCCCTAGGTGTTCGCTTCGCCAGCCGCCGCGACCAGCCGCCAGCCCGTGGAGCTGGAGCAGGCGACAGTCGTAGGTCGTCCTCGTCCTCCTCCCCCAGTCCACGCCCCCCCCCCTTCTCCTTCTCCCCTTCCTGCATCCTCCTCCCTTCCCCTCCCCGTTCGGAGGTTCCCAGAAACGGTGCGGTGACCACACGGTGTGGCGAGTCAGTAGGGGTTCGGGGTGAGCGAACGGGCTTGGGATTCGGGTCGTTCCCTGAGGATGTCTCGGAGATTTTCATGAGAAAACAAGCATGCAGGCACAACTAAGCGCAGACTTCCATTAAAATATAGGAAGCGATGGGAAGTGGAGGGGAAGGCGAATCCTGGGTCTTGTGTCTGTTTATACTTGTGTGTCCCTGGGCCCCTGTCATCTTTTGGGGGAATTCCGAGGTCACCGCGCGGTCTGTCACCCCACCGCCCCCGAAAACCTCTGACGCCAGGACTTCTGTTCGCGACGTGGACCCCTGGAGGCCTGGACCGCGTCATGCTCACGAGGTCCCCAGACTTGCGAGGTCTCGCTGTCTCCCCGTGCCCTCGGTCGCGGCCCCCGCTCGTCCTTGTCCGGGTCCTGGCTCCCCGTCCCTCGCCATCTTTGGGTCCCCTTCCCTGACCTTCCAGGAGGGTTAAAAAATAGCACCAGGACGTCGACGTCCTAATTTTTGTCGAGGTTTGAGGCAGTCCAGATAGATCTATAGGTCTGGAGTGCTATTTTTTAGCACTCTGGAAGGTCAGGGTTCGGGCCCGCCGTCGCGCGTCGGCCATGTGCAGGAGCTGCTGTGCTGAAGGTAGCCCGCGAGCAAATAGAAACGCCCTGGCCTCGGGCTCGGCTCTGGCCTCGGCCCGGGCCTCTCACCAGCCTGGAACATATCCCTATCCCTATGCTGGGCACCGCCTCCTCACGATGCCAATCTTAGGGATTCCCTTATTTTTTGAGGGCGAATCCCTAAGATTATCATCGCCTTTTGGCGTGTCAATCTTAGGGATAGGGATAAGTTCGAGGCTGGTAAGCCTCGGCCGCAGCCTCGCCTCCGGGCCGGGCTTCGGCCGCGGCTTCGGTCGCGGCCTCGGCGCCGGCCCTCCCCGAGAGTCCTGGGCCCCCACGGGGTCTGGTGCGGGCAATATTTACATCCGTATCCAGTGCGTCTTGGACTTTCTTGGAAGGGGCGCCGCAAGGCCGAGGCGCACTGGATATGGATAACAATGGAGCTTTTTGGAGGCAGATTATAATCCATATCCAGTGCGCCTCATGTTTCTTGGGAAGAGTGTCCGAAACTCCAAGACGCACTGGATGTGGATAAAGACATTGCCCGCATCTGGGGTGAAGTCGGGCACGTCCCTCTACAGGAAGGAGGTGCAACAATGGTTAGGCAATCGTCAGGTGACGTCTTTTCGTGCTCCGTGGGCCATGTTTTTGAGTTCCGTTGGGCCACGTTTTTTTCACACCTGTCTTCCCAAAGTCCGCCGGTAGGAGGGCATGCCCAGCCTATGTCTGGGGCCAGCGTTCCCTCCCGCGTCGTTTCTGTTGCGGCTTCTTCTGGGCCCGCAGAGGGCCCCCGGAGGTTGAAGATAGCCGAGAGCCTTCCGCCGTGAAGAAACGTAAACAGTCACGACGCGAGGGGGTCTGGGTCTCGGGGCCCTCAACTTGTTCCCTTCCCCATGCACGGCCCGAACGAAAGGGGGGATAGGGAAAGGGGGGGTTAGGAAATCTGCTGCATGCAGCTGGTTTCGGCCCCGCCGCCGGGCCCATTCCTCGATACATGGGCGCCTCCCGGCGCCGGGAGGCGCTGGGAAAATCGGCTACGTGAGCTGATTCTCAACCCCCCCCCCTTTGCTATCCCCCCCTTTCGCCCGGCCCGACATGCCCCCTCCCCGTCAGTCGCTGCTGGCCCGACTTTGGGCTGGGCCGGGCCAGGGCACGGGGGGCCGACGGCCATAGGCGGGGGGCTCCGCGCGTGCTCTCGACGCTTCCCCGGAGCCAGACGGGGGGCCGGGCCCCTTCCCCCTTGTCGGAAGCTGGAACGTATGCATTACCAGTGGCGGGCTGTTTTTCAATCCCACGATCTTTTTGAGGGTCGGGGACGGCGTCGGGGTGGTGTGGTGTATGCTTTTCCGCCGTTTTCCAAGGGAAACAACGAACAATGTATACACCAGGATCCCGTATACACCAAAATCCGCGTTGCTGTGCGAATCTCAGCGAGGGGTCGGGAAAAGCGTCGGGGTGTGTGTGTATATAGAGAGAGAGAGAGAGAGAGAGAGAGAGAGAGAGTTCGCTTCCCTACCTCTGCGCGGCCCTGGCTCGGCTCTTCCCCTCGCGGCACTCCCCCGAGCTTCCGCCGCAGCCCTGCAGCGCCGTGAGGAGCGCGGGGGGGGGATACCCGCCTCGCGGTCAGGCGGCGGCGGCGGCGGCGACAGCGACGGCGACGGATGGGGCCCCAGCGCAGGACTCGGCGGCGGCCCTGGGCGGGCGCGCCGGCTCTGAGGAAGCGCCCAGCGGCAAGCCCAGCGGAGGCGGCTCGGGTCGTCGTCGTCGTCGTCGTCGCCGTCGTCGTCGTCGTCGTCGTCGTCGTCGGCTAAGTCGCTCCGAGACCTCGAACGCATTTGAAACATGGCGATGTAGGTTCGTCGGCGTCTGGGGGCCCTCGCCGGGCCCCAGCACGGGCGAAGAACGTCCCGGGACGAAAAACGGGTCCCCAGAAAGTGGTCCAGAGCTCCCGTGGCTCCGCATTGAAAACGACAAGTTATCGGATGTCATGGTCGTCGGCGTCGACGTCGGCGGTCGCCTCCTGGCGAGACGAGGTCCCCTTGTCGCGGACATGGGGTCGGTCGCCTCTTTGCGGGTCTGGCCCAGTCGGGGAAGAGGAGGAGCGGGGAGGGAAGCGCAGGGGAGGGGAAGGGGTTGGGGGGGGGGGCAAGAGGGAGGAGAGGAGGGGGGGCAGCGAGGGGGCGGTCCGCGTGGGGGCGCGCGCCCGCACCGTGACGACGTAGTGCGGCACCTGCCTCGCCCTGGAGGCGTGGGCGTTCGTCGGGCGCCGAGCCGGGGTCTTCCGCACTGGGCCCCCTTGTCGTTTGCCCACGGGTGGGGGATGGGGAGGGGGACGGCGAAGGGGGAGAGAATGGGCAGAGTTATCCTTCTTCTCGTCGTTATCGTCGTCTTCCTCGTCTTCTCTTCCCGAGCAGTAGGTCGTCGTTTGCCCACGGGTGGGGGATGGGGAGGGGGGCTGCGAAGGGGGAGAGAATGGGCAGGAGAAGGTGTCTGGCTCGAGCTGGCAGGCAAAGGCGAAGAGGAGTATGATGACGAAGAGGCGGAGGATGGCGAGTGTTCCTCTACAGCATCGTCTCAACCTTCTCGCGATCCTCTCTCATATCCGTTACCATCCTTTTCCTAGTACTACTGATGCCCATGGTGTTCCTCATCACCCTCCTCCTCCGACTCGGTCTTTTTTCCTTCCTTATCATTCGCCTTTTTTTCGTTATCGTCGTCTTCCTCGTCTTTTCGTCCCAAACAGTAGGTACTCGCTGTTTGGCAATGCCAAACGCATGGCAGGAACGAGACGCTGCGCGCACAGTCTGCGTGAAAGCGTGGGTATCCTCTTCCCACAGTGGCTTTCAGAATATCTACACAATGGAGGCTGGCATCGCGTCTACTTGATATCGTAAGTTACGCATCGCGACGTACGTGCGGGCAGCGCACGCAACGCTTGCGGATGGAACCTGTTCTTCACTCTGCGTATCTCTGCGTGGGATCGTGCGACCGCCGCATTCATTTCGCATGCTAATGTCCGCCTTCGCCAAGAAGGCCGCAGCTTGCCACTGCCCCATCAAGGAAAGAGTCTGATACGTGGTTGACGCGATGATGGCTTCGCTTTCAACACTGTATTCAAAGGGTTTGAGGAGTTTGATTGCGACGGTCGTCTTGCCCTACTCGCCAGGGCAAGCGCGTCCCGCGTCGCCCCTGTTTCGCTTCAAAAGCGCGCATCATATTGTTTGACAGTTTGCAGACTGTCCATCGTTAAGTCCTGCCGACGTCGATTCCCATATTGACGCTCGAATTGCCCGCTTTCTCTCACACTCACTCAGGATGTTTATATGATCGGCGATCCCACCCGTATTCCTGCATTTCCGCATTTCCACCTGTCACCATCATCACCATAATCGTCGTTATCCTATCTATCATGGCAGCCATCGTCATTATAGTAACATTTATCCCTCACCTTCGTATATACCGTTCTCCCTCTTTCTGCCTACTTCGCTCTCTCTCTCTCTCTATTTCTCTTCCTGTCTCTTCCCTGTTCCTCTATGTATATCTGTATCTTTATATATGTATGTAAAGATGGTCGTGGGTCGTGGTTTCACCGGCCACCCACCAGCCCCCAAATCGGAATGTGTCCCAGGGTTCGCGACCCCCCCTTCTGACGGGATAACCTGGGGGGCGGGGTCGACGACGACGACGACGACAACGACGACGACGACGACGACGACGACGACGAAGCGACTACGACTACGACTACGACTACGACGACGACGACGACGACGTCCGCCCACCACCAGGCCATGCCCGCAGGGCCACGACCACAATGGGGGGGACCCATCAGCGGGGGTGGACTGGAAGGCATCAGCATGAGGGAGGAGGGGGGCCTCCGTTTGTCCGTGTGTTTCTCTGTCCCTCTCTCTCTCTCTCCCTCTCTATGTTTCTGTTCCTGTCCCTCTCTCTCTCTCTCTTTATCTTTCTCTTTCTCTCCCTCTTTCCCCGGACGTGTTTATATATTTTACGCATGGGTTCACCTGTCTCTTTCTCTCGGCGGCCAGTCCGTGCGGTGAGATGGGCAGTGCCGCTCCAGCGCCAGCCATGGCTGGGGAGTGGCTTCATGTGGCCGCAGGCCCCTCCTGCAACAATGCTCTATGCACGCACGACCGCTCCGAAACGCACACATGGTTGTGGAAGTCGATTAATGGAGAGGAAGCATGCTGCCAAATACTTTCCAGATGTCTGAGACATGTTTCAACCATGTTTCAAACATGTTAAAGCATGTTTGAGACCTTTTAGAACATGTTTTACACATGTTAAACACATCTTCAATTCAATGGTCCGATTGTTAGAGTGTCCATTGTCATGGCATCCACAAACACATTGGCAAGGGGTGGATGTGTGAAAAAGACATGTTTTTTAGTGTTGGTTTGGCACGACGGCCTGCCATTGCCCCCGCAAGGAGAAGCTGGGCATGGGCCACGTGCGCCACTGTAGCACGTGGTTGCATATTATTCGGCGGCTGCTGGTACCGGAGTCTGCGAGAGGCCCCTCGCTATCAGGGCGTCAGCAGAATGAGTGATGGTAGTAGCTACTCAATCGCTTCACTCACTCCGCCGGCCCATATTGTAGCATCGTTGGCACTGGCCTGTGTGCTCGCGGGGGCATTTTTGGAGCCTCGTGCGGCCTTTTTGGGGGCATCTTTTGGCCCTCTTGGAGCCTCCTGGTGGGTGTCTTGGAGGCCTCTGGGGGCCTCTCGGGGGGGGGGGGTCTTGGTAGTCTCGAAGGCCATCTTTGGGGGAAGGGCCTGACATGTGAATTCGCATTCCCCCTCTTGGGACCTGTCTGGAGCTCTCTTGTGCCGTCTTGGGGCCGTTTTGGAACATTTGGGGCCGTCCTGGGGGCCTCTTGGGCTGTCTTCGCCCGATTATGATGCCTCATGGGCCGTCTGCGACAATCCGAAGCTCGAAAAAGCGGTGACGCCGAAATCCTTCAACACCCGAAGGGGAAGATTGACTACCCTGCACCGCGCTTGACACCTACCATGCTCTTGAAAACATCCCATCCACCCACTCGCAACTTGGTTTGCAAAGCCCATGCGCCGGCGATTGCGATGAGTGCTTGGCACTGGCTGGTACAACTCTGCGGCCGCGCTAGCCCGCGCATGCTCGCGCGCACAGCGGCCAGCTAGTTTGGCGCGACCGACGCGGCCGCGGTGGCGCTGACCGCTTGGCACTTCCCAGCGGGCACTTCAGCGCGAGCCGGTGACTTGAGCGGGAGACACGATGATGGTATTAGCGATGGTGGCGATGTTGGCAGCGACGAAGGCCAGGCCAATGACGGCGCCGATGCTGGTCACGCCGGCGACGATGACGGCGTCCTCGCGTTGGCCGACGCGCGAGAGCAGTCGCGTTGTATTATTTGACTGACCGTGCCCCCCCCCCCCAGCACGCGCAAAAAAATTCGAATGATGTCCGCATTCTGCACCAGAGGCTTATTTGGCAGAGCATGCCAAACATGTTGAACAACACTTGTGTTTTTTGACCCCGCAAGAGCGAGAGCGCACGACTTATTGAAAGCCGATGGCGCGAAACAGTGTGTTGTATATGTTGATTGGACATTCGGTTTAAAAGGAGTTACGAAACCATAACTGTTCGACTGACTTCGGCATGCGCGCGCGACGACGCGCGCGCACTTCGTCCCACACGTTTGCTAACATATTGTGACGATGGCACGCGCGCAAGGGCGTCCGAACGATGTCGATTTGCGCGCGCGAAGCTCGCTTGGTAGCACGATCGGAAGCTGTGGGGAAATATTTGTTTCGATATTCGCAAGAGACCGCGCGCAAGTTTGTGCTGAAAACCCATGTTGTGGACCATTGTTTTTGTTCATATGTTTCTTCTGGACATTCGAGTTTGAAATCCTTACTGAACCGATGGTTTTTGAAGGGTTTCGGCACGCGCGCGCGATACGTCTGGCACGTGCACTGCGTACATGCTATTGGCAAAAAGGAGTTTTTGCAAACTGATGATCTGTTATGAACGAGTGCGCGCGTAGCGTTTTTTGCTAACGGATGGCTGGGGGGATACCAGCTCGACTGGGATGGTATGACTTCATATTTCGCATTGGCGATGGGGCATAATCAAATATAAGGGGGCGGATAATCCTGGCGGGGGGGAGAGTTTTCGGGGGGCCTTATCTTGAAGCAGTAGGGGGGCTTTCTTCGGGCCAACTTGGGGCTTCCCGCGAGTTCATCCCGCCAGATCCTCCCCGCACTTGCGCCCTCTTGGAGCTCCCTGGGGCTCCTTTTGAGCCGCCCCCAGGGCGATCTTGAGAGTCAGAAGACCGCCCCGTGGCTGAACCGGGGCAGGCCATTTTTCGTCCTGGGGTCCCAAGGGGGCCACCGCGCGCGCGCGAAGAAGAAATATGGGAATTTTGTCACTGAAGATTCCAGCACGCCTTTGGCCCGTTGGGGTGGCGAATTTGTCAGACGCACCTGGCCTCTGCCAGGGGGCGATCTTTCAGAAGGGTGGCGGGGGAAAGGGCGGTTCGCGCCGAAACCATCAATGCTAATTGGACGCGCGCGCCGAGGGGGGGGGGGGGGGGGCGATCCCAGAGGGCGCCGCGTGTCAGGCGGCTTCTACTGGTGGAATTGTACGCATGTCGCGTTGTGCCAGACGCGAAAGCGCCGCAGGATCTGCTGTTAAGAACACGAGAGAGCCGAGACGGAGGCCGCCGAGCCCCGACCTTGTGGGAAGCCCAGCCGACTAATTGAACGGGCTGCGGTTGGTGGGCGTGCATCCAGCCCGCGCTGGCATTTTCTGCTGTCAGCAGCCTGGGTTCGCAGATCGTTGCTTGCGGGTGGTTTCTGCCTCGTTTGATGCCTGGGTGACCTGATACCTGCAAAATTGCAAGACTCAGGCCGGATCGTCCTTGCTGCATCCCCCATTGCTACGCACCATCATCAATCATCACCACCCGCACCACCGCGTCCACCGTCGCCGTCGCCGACGCATCGGCCGCCGCCGCCGCCGCCTCCGCCGTCCCAGCGCGCGCAACCGCTTCGCCTCGAGACCGCGGGCTTCGGAGAGGCCGCGGCCGACGGTCCAGGATGCACAGCCACCCCGTCGATGGCGTGGCCCTGCGGGCCCCACCGCCCTACGCGCACGCGCTGCGCGGCGCTGCCACCCCAGGCCTGGCGGTGCGCACGAAGGGGCAGGTCTCTTCTTCCTGCCTCCTCCTGCCTCCTCCTGCCTCCTCCTCCTCCTCCTCCTCCTCCTCCTCCTCCTCCTCCTCCTCCTCCTCCTCCTCCTCCTCCTCCTCCTCCTCCTCCTCTCCTCCTCCTCCTCCTCCTCCTCCCCTCCTCCTCTCCTCCTCCTCTCCTCCTCCTCCTCCTCCTCCTCCTCCTCCTCCTCCTCCTCCTCCTCCTCCTCCTCCTCCTCCTCCTCCTCCTCCTCCTCCTCCTCCTCCTCCAAGGCCCTGGACCTGTCGAGAGCCAGCGGGGCCCTCGAGGGAGCAGCCGTTCTGGGAAGGGGCTGCGACTCTCGCGTGGAAGGGCTCGGGGGGTTCGCGCCTGACTCCTGAGCCCGCGGGGCCCTTCTGGGAAGCCCCTCGCCGTCGCAGAGTAGGAGGAGGAGGAGGAGGAGGAGAGGAGGAGGAGGAGGAGGAGACGAGGAGGAGGAGGAGGAGGAGGAGGAGGAGGAGGAGGAGAGGGCCGCACTGCACCCCGCGCCCTTCCAAGCCTCCGCGGGCCTGCTTGCGTTCTCGCGCGAGCCCCAGAGTCCTCGACCCTCGACCACTTCCCCGGGACAGGCTCTTCGCCGCGGGCTGTTACTCTAGGCCTGGCGACGATTTGTTTATTATTTTGCAGACAATTTCCGAGTTTTTGTTTTGTTTCACTACTTTTGATATCTCCTCCAAAATCAGCCTGTAGCGGGACATGCCCGACCTAATCCCAGGGGAAGCAGGTCTTGTGTATGTCCAGGCCTCCTAGATGGGGTCGGAGCAGATGGGGTCGGAGGATCGCGCCGCATCGCCGATGCATCGCCGATGCGGCTCGATGCGGAGCCCGATTTTCTCTACGCCGACGTCGCCGATGCATTGCCGACGTCGACGATGCATCGCCGGTGCACCGCTGATGCACTGTCGGTGTATCGGCGATGCAGCGCGATCCCCCGACCCCGTCTATGCCGACCCCAGCTGGGAGGCCTCTAGTTGCGCGGACGGCCCGATGGGCCCGACGCCGGCCCACGGGGCCCGAGGCCGCGTGAGGACACGGCCGTCGTGGTGCTCTCGCGACGCTCGGAGAGGGCGTCCATCGGAGCCGACGTTGGGGGCGAAGAGCCCAGGGGGGAGCAATACCAGGGGGCCACATGCGAACCCTACCCCTACCCCCCACGGTTTCTGAAGGGGAGGTGGGGGTTCACTCCGTTCGGGAGCTCCCGAGCGAAGTGAACCCCACCCTCCCCCTCAGAAATCGTGGGGGGTAGGGGTAGTGTTCGCATGTGGCCCCCTACAATCATGTATCCAGGGGTGCCGATGATCTATGTCTTCGACGAGATTCCCGGGCGGAGGCGTGCAATGCCCGCCCCTGGGCTATTCGCCCCTATCGTCGCCACCGAGTCCAGGTGACCCCCTCTCTGCTCGCCCCCCGCTCAATCCCGCTTAATCCAGCTTAATCCCGCTTATAATCCGAGGCCCACTCCGGCGTAATAGCCCCCCAAATGGGGCTTAATCCTTCTGAGTCTTTCCGACGAAAACCTCCCAGCAGTTGCTTCCTGGCCTCTGCTCGCCCCCCGACCCCAGGCGCTGGGCTTCCACTTCGCGGTCGCGCCCCGGCGCTGGCGCCGCGCATCGGTAACGAACCGTTCTTCCTCGGGCCGTCGGCGCTGCCGCTGGCGGGCCACTGGCGACCAGGTGCGCCTCCTGCGTTTGTCGGAGGGGCTCTATGTATAGTATGTATATATATATATATATATGTATATATATATATATATGTATATATGTGTGTATGTATGCATAAATGTATGTATGTATGTGTATATATATATATATGTATATACACATGTGTATACATACAAATACATATATGCATACAAGTGCATGAATGAACACATAAATACAAATATAAGCAGAGGGGAGCTGGGGCGTCTATGCACCGAGCCCCTGGACTCCCTGGGCGACGGGGTGCATACCCCGAGCCGCTGATGCCGCTGCTGCTCCCTCTCCCTCCGCCCGGTGCTCCTCCCGATCCCCCTTGCCTTTGTGGGCCCCGGAAACGGCAGGGCCTTTTTTTCACCGTTTCCCCCAAAAAATATCCCTTGAAAATGGAAACGGCAATAAAAGGCGACCGGAAACAGCAAAAAAACGGCTCCACGATTGGAACCTGAGCCTGAACCGTTCAAAAAACGGCGACGGAACCGGTAAAATATTGGCGTCGGAACCGGCAACAAAACGGCTAAACGAAACCAGTAAAGAAACGGCGTTGTCGTTTCCAGGGCCCACTAAGCCCCTGGCCTCCCACGCGGCGACGCGGCGCCCTCCTCCGGTCCGACTCCATTGACCCCAAGGTGGGATCGGGACCAGTCCCCAGCTAAGCTGTTGCCCTCGTGGTCGGTGCCGTGTGGTCTGTCTTCATCGATCGGCTGAGTTGCGGCCACACCCGCAGGGCAGCCGGCTGCGTGGTGTGTCGTCTCGCGAGCGAGCGTTTGTCCGTGATGTGTGCGACAGGGACGGCCCCCTCGAGGGGCAGCGGATTCCTCCTCCCTGCCTTGCATGAGACTGTTAAAACAACTCATCTGCTGCCCTCGTCTGCCTCCCAACGTTCGGATGCAACTCCTGGGAGGTCAAATGCTGACTTGACCCTGGGCCGACGTCCGGCTTAAACCCGTATCCCGCCTAGTCCGGCTTGTAACTAATCCAGCTCAAGTCCCGCTTAATCCCGCTGCATCCTAGCACCCCCAGCGGAGTTCCATCCTCCTTTCTTCCGACGAAGACCTCCCAGCAGTTGCCTCCCCAGACATGCGACGTCCTGATTTTTCCAGGACGGCGTCCCCGGAAGTCCCGACCCTTTCCACGGGACCGGTTGTTCGTCCTGAGTCGTTTTGTTGACGGTCCCGGGGCCCGGCGAGGGCCCCCCGGAGCCGAAAATAGCCCAAACACCTCCGCGCCCTGATTTTTGTTCATACGACGCGATCCTGCCTGGGCACTCTTCTTCTGACGAAGACCTCCCGGCAGTGGCCTCCTCGCCGGCGCCGCCCGCGCCCCCGGCGCAGGCAGAGCGCCCCCCGCGCCCAGGCGCGCCCTGGCCGCGGCCCCCCCAGGCGCCGAGCGCGCCCCGCCGGGCCCCGCGGCCAGCGCGCCGCAGCGCGGCGGGACCTCGCGCGCGGGCCTCGGCAGCGAGGGTCCCCGTCTCGCCGCCCTCGCCCTCCCAGGCTCAAGTTGGGCCTGTCCCCCTACAGGGAAATGTTCGACGAACAAATTCTCCCAAAATGCCCCCAAAAGGCCATTAAATACTAAAAAATAGTCCCCAGACTATGTTTGGATTATTTTTGTATGATATTTTTTATTGTTCGTCCATAGTACCATAATACCAAAATACAACGGGTCCCCGTCTCGCCGCCCTCGCCCTCCCAGGCTTAAGTTGGGCCTGTCCCCCGACAGGGGGATTTTCGACGAAAAATTCAAAATACACCAAAAATGATCCCGGCAAAGCAACCTAACAGCGATGCGTAGGAGCATCTTATCTGGAAGCATTCCCTTGAAGATTCAGGTGGGAATCCAGCTGTAGAATTCTGCTGTTCTCGCAGTCGCAGTCGCATTCGCAATGACAGTCGCAGTGGCAAGGGCCTTAGGATCCAATGGAACAGGATTCCTATGGATTCCAAGGCATCCTTAGGCATCCTTAGGAATCCATAAGAATCCTTAGGAAACCTTGGAATACTTAGGAATCCTGATTCCTAGGGATTCCTAGGGATTCCGGAGGATCCCTGAGGAATCCTAAGGATTCCTAAGGATTAAGGATTCCTGAGGATGCTGAACTATGCCTACGGATTCCTAAGGATGCCTACGGATTCCAAGGGGTTCCTAAGGATTCCTATGGATTCCTACCGATGCCTCAGCCTGCCTCAGCCTCAGCCTCAGCCTCAGCCTGCCTCGGCTTGCCTCAGCCTCAGCCTCAGCCTGCCTCGGCCTCAGCCTCGGCCTCAGCCTGCGTCAGCCTCAGCCTCAGCCTGCCTCAGCCTCAGCCTGCCTCAGCCTCAGCCTGCCTCGGCCTCAGCCTCAGCCTCAGCCTGCCTCGGCCTCAGCCTGCCTCGGCCTTAGCCTGCCTCAGCCTCCCCTCCTCCACAATTACACAATATGAAAATACTCTCCCACTTCCCCTGATGGCGTCCCGAAGATATCCGACACCCCCCCGCGTACTGCTTTTTTACACAGGATTCCCGGGAAACGGGTTTTCGCTTGCGTTTTTTTCAAAATGCTGCTCTCGCTGAGGCGCCGGCCTCATTTCTGCTCCCGAATCGTTCCGAATCGTGCTCCCGCTGCAGCGAGGGCCTCATTTTCGGATCGGTGTTTGGCCTCCGTCGTTCAGGATGGCGTTCTCGCCCCAGCGCGGGCCTCTTTCTCGCGCGCCCATCCGCCCGCCACCACCGCGCCGCACCACCACCACCACCACCACCACCACCACCACCACCACACACCACCACCCACCCACCACCCACCACCACCACCAGCACCACCACCACCACCAGCACCACCACCACCACCACCACCACCACCACCACCACCACCACCACCACCACGCAACACGCACGCACGCACGCACGCGCACCACCACCCACTACGCACGCGCGCGCGGAGCCACAGGTCCGCTACGACACGCGTCCGCGGATAGAGAAAATCAGCGCCATGGTAAGGGATGGGAGGGAGGGGTAGGACGTCAGATATGACGCGAGCGCACCTAGCTTGTCCCCCTCCCCCTCCCCCCCCCATTCAGCCTCACCTTGTCTCAGCTTCGGTCTGCCTCGGCCTCATCCTCAGCCTCAGCCTCAGTTTCAGCCTCAGCCTATCTCGGCCTGAGCCTGCCTCGGCCTCAGCCTCAGCCTGCCTCAGCCTCAGCCTGCCTCAGCCTCAGCCTCAGCCTGTCTCAGCCTCAGCCTGCCTCAGCATCAGCCTCAGCCTCAGCGTCAGCCTGCCTCGGCTGCCTGGCCTCAGCCTCAGCCTGCCTCGCCTCAGCCTCAGCCTCAGCCTCAGCCTGCCTCAGCCTCAGCCTCAGCCTGCCTCAGCCTCAGCCTCCTGCATCAGCCTCAGCCTCAGCCTCAGCCTCAGCCTCAGCCTGCCTCAGCCTCAGCCTCTCAGCTCAGCCTCAGCCTCAGCCTCAGCCTGCCTCAGCCTCAGCCTCAGCCTGCCTCAGCCTCAGCCTCAGCCTGCTCAGCCTCAGCCTCAGCCTCAGCCTCAGCCTCAGCCTCCTCAGCTCAGCCTCAGCCTCAGCCTCAGCCTGCCTCAGCCTCAGCCTGCCTCAGCCTCAGCCTCAGCCTCAGCCTCAGCCTCAGCCTCAGCCTTCCTCAGCTTCAGCCTCAGCCTGCCTCAGCCTCAGCCTCAGCCTGCCTCGGCCTCAGCCTGCCTCGGCAGCTCGGGCATTTAAAATATTGCACAGGAGTGGTGTTCTGGGAATGCGTAGATCACGAAGCGGCCCACAGTTGGCTCTGGGCAATCAAACTATGGTACAGGAATTGTGTTCTGGGAGCACGAAGAACACGAAGAGGCCTACAATTGGCTCCGGGCATTCAAAATGTGGCCTGGCAGTGGTGTTCTGGGAGCACGAAGAACACGAAGTGGCCTACAGCTGGCTCCGGGCATTCAAAATGTGGCCTGGAAATGGTGTTCTGGGAGCACGAAGAACACGAAATGGCCTACAGTTGGCTCGGGGCATTCAAAATGTGGCCTGGGAATTGTGTTCTGGGAGCACGAAGAACACGAAGTGGCCTACAGTTGGCTCGGGGCATTCAAAATGAGGCCTGGGAATGGTGTTTTGGGAGCACGAAGAACACGAAGTGGCCTACAGTTGGTTCCGGGCATTCAGAATGTGGTCTGGGAATAGTGTTCTGGGAGCACGAAGAACACGAAGTGGCCTACAGCTGGCTCCGGGCATTCAAAATGTGGCCTGGCAGTGGTGTTCTGGGAGCACGAAGAACACGAAGTGGCCTACAGCTGGCTCCGGGCATTCAAAATGTGGCCTGGAAATGGTGTTCTGGGAGCACGAAGAACACGAAATGGCCTACAGTTGGCTCGGGGCATTCAAAATGTGGCCTGGGAATTGTGTTCTGGGAGCACGAAGAACACGAAGTGGCCTACAGTTGGCTCGGGGCATTCAAAATGAGGCCTGGGAATGGTGTTTTGGGAGCACGAAGAACACGAAGTGGCCTACAGTTGGTTCCGGGCATTCAGAATGTGGTCTGGGAATGGTGTTCTGTTGGCTCCAGGCAGTCAAAGTGTGGCCTAGGATAAGGTGGGAAGTCCCCGGTTTTCCCCGGCACCCGTCCGGCATCTGCCCAGACCCCCCCGGGGTCGGAGTCATGATGCGTTCTTTTTGAACTTACTAGAAACCTATCAGTCTTCGCTGTTAGGTAAATACAGAAAAAGAATAGTCAAAACATAGTCCAAACATAGTCCGGGGACTATTTGTTGAGTATTTTTTGCCTTTTTGGGGTATCTTTCGGGATTGTTTTATTCTTCGTCGAAAATCCCCCTGTCGGGGGACAGGCCCTCGCCCTCCCAGGCACGATGGCGTCGTTCAAGAGATCAGGGCGGAAGGCTTTTCGCTATATCCGGCCCCTGGGGGCCCTCGCCGGGCCTCGGGGCCGTCCAGAAACGCCTCCGGCTGCACAGCCGGCCCCTTAAGGAAAGGGTCGGGGTTTTTTGGGGGCGCCGTCCAGATCAGGGCGTCGCAGGTTTGGGCTCCGTGCAGTGGGCGGCTTGAATAAGGAACACTTACTTTTCAAATGGGGCTCGGTCGTTCCTTAGATTTTGCATGCGTTATTTGCAGTTCCTTATGCTGTATCTATTATTTATCGTTCCTTATGCGTTATTCCTTGGGATAAAAAAGGGCTTCGTTCCTTATTTTTCGTTCCTTAGGTCAGGCCGATGACTGTACCCTCGCGGGGCGACGTGGACCCCGCCCCCCCTCCGCGGCACCTCTTCTCGGGGCCCATGCAGCTCGGACCCCCTGGCCGCGTGGAACCTGCGGCGTTCTGAGGGAAGCGCTCCCAGGGGTTAAGTCGTGCCTGTCCCCCTACAGGAGGAATATTCAAAGACAGTAAAACATAATCTGGGGACGATTGTTTGACCCTTTTCTCAGTATGTGAGGGCATGTTCTGACTATTTTCTGTTCGTCGTCCAACATCCCCCTGCAGGGGGACAGGCCCGACTTCAAACCTGCTGCGTTCTGAGTGGAAGCACTCCCAGGGGGGTCCAGGAGGATGCGCCATCCCTCAGAGCGTGAATTACCTACCTCGCTTTCGCTTCCAGGCTAAACCAAGTCATACCACGCGCCTCCTCGTCAAGGGGCCTGACCAGTACAGGCCGTAGTTTGGCATCGCTTGGTATCTCTTGGAAGCGAGGGTGGTCAAAAGCGAGGTAGGTTTGTTTTCCCCCTAATCCCTCTGCTCCGGCCCGTGCCCGATCGGGATCGCGGAGGTCGAGCTGGCCCCCGATCGGCACGGCCGTCCCCGCGCTCCGGGGTGCACCGGGCGGCCTGCTGGCCCGGGCCAGGGCCCAGGCTTCCAGCAGACCCTTCTCTGATCTCGGGGGCGGAGAAGAGGGGGTGATGACTAGGGGGGGGTGGATATCATGGCGGGGGCCATGATATTTCCCCAGATTTCAGGGCGCCTCTTCTTATTTCATTACGTTCCCGGCCCCCCCGCTAGGCCGCGCACATGCCGCCGGCCATGATTTGCACCCCCCCCTCTTGGACACCCCCCTCTTGGCCGCTCCCGAGGGCTGGCTTTCCAGCCCCATGGTATCGCTCGGACGTGGGCACTTTTTCTCGGCGGGGACTCATGAGGAGCATCCTGGGTGATCCTGCAGAAAACCACGCACGAAACCGACAAAAGCACAGGGAATGGACGTCCGAGCGCCGGGAAGTCCCGAGCCCGCTTCTGCCCTCACGAGGTCCAGACTGTCCGCCGAGCGCCAGAGAACCGGCGAGGAAAGTCTGGCGCGAGTTGTGGGAGTCGCTGGAGGGTTTTTGGGGCGTTGGGGTCTGCGAGGGGCACCGGCTGGGCGGGAACAAGGCTCAGGGGGTGGGATGCATCGGCCCGCAATCGCCCGTCCATCGAGCACAGATAGACTTGGCAGCGCTCGGGCGTGTGCACTTTTTCCTCGGCGAGAACCATCGAGGACCATCCTGGACCATCGAGCAAGAAAAACACGCACGATATCGAAAAACGCACGGGGAATGGACGTCCGAGCGACGGCAAGTAGAGGCCCGATGCCCCAACGCGCCCAGGATCGTTCGGATTCGATGTCCGCGACCCATCGCCGATCTATCGGCGACGTATCGCCGGTCGCAGGTCGATGCTACCCCCCTTGGGCCAGTCGCCGCCTATCGTCTGCCCTCAGGGCTGCGGGGCAGGATCGGGCTGTTGATCGGCCTTGGTCGGGTGGCGTGCTCATGAGGCGCAAGCCTGCTGGAGAAGGCAAGCGCCGTCCTGAAGGAGTTCCCCCTGACACCCGTCGGCATCATCGAGGCGCTGTTCAGCCCGCCGTTCCTCTACGTGCTGATCGGCCTGGTGTTGCTGTGCTGCTCGGGGAGCCTCATCTACGTGTTCCGGGACGGGATGGAGCCGTACATGATGGCCTTCGTCGACGTTCTGGCATCCATCGGGAGGTCATTCCTCACGTGCCTCCAAGGGTTGTACTGGTGCTTGCAGCGGTTGGTCTTCCCGCTGAAGGAGCTGTTCATGGACTCTGCCCGGTCCACTGATCACTATTTCAATCCTTACAAGAAGAAGGAGCCAGCCAGACAGAACGTCCCCACATTCCAGATCTAGCCTCTGAGTGCGTGCCTCCTTTTCTGGCGTGCAGTGTGACAGATTATCCGCAGGTGTGATTCGACTGTCGCTTGCTCGCTCCAGACCAGCATCGGCCTCTCAGTCCTCGGCCGATGGTGCGCTATGCGACATATCGCCCGCAGCTTTCATCTCACGATCGATTCTACATCAGGGGTATCAGCGCGAATCCACCTCCTCCTAGATCCAACTGTGTAGGGAGGTCGCTTTGCAAATGCTGACGCTCGTCATGGGGACACTATTGAAAAAGGTTTGCTCTCAGGACTTGCCAGGTTCTGGCATGCTCTTCTTTTTGCGCAGGCTTCTGGAGCGGCCATCGTTCGATGTTGGCCCCAGAGTTCTTCAGTGGTGTACACGCAGCGTTCCGAAGAGGGGTATATGCAGCCCTGGGCGGCATCAGCGGAAACGACATACGGCGCTGGGCGGCTCTTCGGGCCACGGACTGCTACGCGGCTGGCCCGCAAGGAGACACTGCACCTCGCCCCCTGGAAACTTGCACGGGATATGCATGATCACTCGAAGTTTCCCTGTTTTAGGGGGCCGAAGCAGAAGTGCCGTCTTGCCAGAGCGTCCCGCTTGCCCTCCGCGGGGGGAGCGAGCGGCCGCTGCCCCGTCCAGAGGAGCAGCGGTCGGGATTTCAGAGGCCTGGCCCGCCCCTGCCTACAGTCGGGGCGCGGAAGAAGGAACCCTTTTTTCGTTGGGGAGGGGCTCGGTGTTCCTCGATTGCTTCACCGTTTGCCTTGGATGTTCCTGAGGTTGCCCGTGGGGAATCGAAGTTTAACCCATGGGAAGAAAGGGGCCGCGTTCCTTACTTGGGGTTCCTGGGGTCAAGGCCCCGATCTGCACTAGAGGCTCAGGGAGAAGAGGCGAAGGAAAGGAGGGGCCTGCCCAAGAAGCCCATGGCCACCTTCGTCGTCGTCGTCGTCGCCTTCGTCGTCGTCGTCGTCGTCGTCGTCGTCGTCGTCGTCGTCGTCGTCGTCTTCGTCGCCTTCGTCGTCGTCGTCGTCGTTGTCGTCGTCGTCGCCTCGCCTCGCGTGGAGGGCCCGCCGAGGCCCCCGGCCGCGGGGAGGGGCGCTTTCCCGCGGGTCGGGCTTGGCGCGGCCGCCCGCCCGCGCTGCGCGGAACCCCCGCCGCGCGGCCCCGCCGCGCGGGCGGCCCGGACGCGCCTCCTGCAGGGCTGAAGTCGCTACAGGTTGATTCTGGCGGAACAATAAGAAATAGTACAATAATACCCTAAACTACTCAAACATCAGGGTCCATTAATAAATACCCTAACAGATTCTAAGCTACCCAAATACCCATAACCTAATATCCAATCATATATAGTCCAAAAATAGTTCAGTTAGAATTAATATATGTATATTTAAATACATATATACATATATATATATATATATCACCGCGGCAGACCTATGTCCTTCGGATGTTTGCGAGCAGGCACTCTGCGAGCAGGAGGACGCGCTCGGTGAGCCGAGGGGGCGGCGGAGAGCGCGCGGGCGCGCCGGGCCGTCGGGGAGGGGCCGAAGGGTGCGACCCGCGCGGGGAAGGGGCTCCGGGCATCCAGGAGCAGCACCTGGCCCGGGCAGGGCTCCTCCTCCTCCTCCTCCTCCTCCTCCTCTTCCTCCTCCTTCTCCTTCTCCTCCTCTTCATCATCCTCATCCTCCTCCTCATCCTCCTCGCCATCGGGCTCGCCGTGGTGTGCTGTGTTGCCCTGCGCCCCCGCCGTCCTGGAGCGCGCCGTGCTACGAGCTGCGCGGCGAGGAGCCGCTCGGCGGGCGGGATCGGGGATCTTCTGGCCGGGGCCAATCCAGACCCGGGCCAGTCGCGCCTTGCAGAATCCTGGAAGGCCCTGCAAGCTCCTGCACCCACACCCGGGGTCCATGCGAAGGGTCCGGCAAGATCCTGCAGGATCCTGCATCCAGACCCGGGTCAAAGCGACCCTGGCCCTGCAGGATCCCGCAAGATCCGGCGCTCTGGCTGACCCCCGTTCGCATTGACCCTTGGGAGCTGTTGTCCCCTTTCCGTTCCTCCCTCCGCCTTGCCTTGAGTCGGGCCTGTCCCTCCACAGTAGGAATCTTCAAAAATAGTCAAAAAAATCGTCAGGGGGATCTAGTGACAATTATTGAGCATCTTATATATATATATATATATGTATAGATCTACATGTATGTATGTATATATAATATCTATATGTATGTATGTGTATATATATGTATGTATATATATATGTACATATATCGTACCTCCCCCTGGCGGATGCAGGCCATCTGCGAGCAGTTCCCCTTTGCGAGTAGTGGAACGTGGCTGTCTATCGGTGGAGCAGGCGCTGGCCTTTCTCACGGCGGCCACTAAGAATGCTGCCCCTCAGGGGCAACTTCCAGGGGGGGTAGGCTCAGGGGGGGCGCATCGACCCCACAATCGCCCACTGATCGCCGATAGGGGCACGATAGCCCGCCCCGCCCAGGACGGTGCGGAATTGCCGTCGGGGGCCTATCGCCGATCTATCGGCGATGTATCGCCGACTCGTGACGGGTGCTCGATGTTTCCCCCTTTGGGCAAGTCCCCCCCCCCGAACGCTTGGCCCGTGCAGTGGGCACGCCAAAGAATGCATCGGCATGCCACCATGTGTCCCACGGATATCGCTTACGGTCGGACCGAGGTAAGGGCCAGAGGCCTCCCGGGCGCCTCTTCGGGTCTCTTGGGATGCCTCTCGGGTGCTCTTGCGACGCCTCTTTGGGGCTTCTTGGAGGCATCTCTGGGAGCTTCTGGGGGCCCGGAGGCCCCATGGAGATACATGCCATCCCGTCAGGCCACAGAATCCCACACGAGAGGGCTTCGAACACGGACGACAGTTGCGCCCCTGGCTTTCTCACAACATTGGGTGCTCACCGCCTGCTCCTGGTATCCTTCAAACGCTTCAAGTTCTTGGACCCCCTCCCGCCCTCGTGCCTACCGAGCACGGGTGGCAGTCGTGCTGTGTCCCGACGATGCCCGTGCAGGGGGGAGGCCTTGGCCCCTGGCGACCAGGGACGCCACGCGACGGTGGGCCTTCGCCATGTCCGGCGGGGCCGCCCACGAACGATTCGGGACCAGAGCCCGGCTCCTGGCAGGATGGGGTCGAGAGCTGGGGGGCGGAAAAGAGGGGGGTGATGACTAGGGGGGGTGGATATCATGGCGGGGGCCATGATGTTTCCCCAGATCTCATGGCGCCTCTTCTGATTGCACTGCGTCCCTGGCCCCCCCGCTGGGCCGCGCACGTGCCGCCGGTCAGGATTTGCGCCCTCCCCCTCTTGGACACCCCCCTCTTGGCCGCTCCCGAGGTATTACAGCTGGGCCGATTCACTGTTTGCGCTGACTTGGACTGCGCCGAGCTCGTGCCATGGCCTTCTTCCTCACACACGGCTGGGGCGTGCCCGTGAGGCGCGGCTTGTCGGCGGACAGGCAACGTGGGGCCCCTCTCGGCCGCTCCCGAAGCGCCGGGGCCCGCGGATGGAGCAGCTCACGGCGCCGGGGCAGGGAGCAGGAGAGCACCTCTCTCCCTGCCCTCAAGTCGGGCCCGGCCCCCTATACGGGGGGATGCGCGACGAAAAATAAAAAAAATGAAAACAAATAATCAAAAAATAGTTCAAAAATGGTCTGGGGATTATGTTTTTAGGATTTGTTTGACCTTTTTGGGGTATTTTATGATATATATATATATAGATTGAAAAATCGTCGAAAATCCCCCTGTAGGGGGACACGCCCGACATAACCTTAGTTTTCGCCACAGAACAACAAAAATTGTCATGGCGAAGGTCCCAGCCATATGCAGTTGTGGGCACCGTAATTGTGAATACCTGCTTCGGTGAAGCTCCTTATGGGGTCACGAAGCGCTGCACTGGGCGGGCGGGAACGCTGTATTGTGTGGGTGGTGTGCCGAATTGGGCTTCCGGGACGCATGCGGACGGTCCCACTGAAGACTTCGGTGGAGCTCCTTATGGGGCCACGAAGCGCTCCACTGAGTGAGCGAAAATGCCAAATTGGGTTACCGGGACGCATGCGGACGGTCCCACTGAGGGCTTCGGTGGAGCCCCTTATGGGGCCGCGAAGCGCTGCACTGCGCGGGTGAAAATGCCAAATTACATTTCGCGGACGCATGCGGACGGTGGCACTGGGGCTGTGGGTGGAGCGTCCCATGGGGCCACGAAGCACTGCACTGGTTGGGCGAAAATGCCAAATTGGGCTTCGGGACGCATGCGGACGTCGGCAAAATGGCGTTCGGTGGAGCTCCCTATGGGGCCACGAAACGCTGTACTGGGTGGGTGAAACGCAGGGAGGAGGGGGAAGAGGGCCACGAAACGCTGTACTGGGTGTGCGGGACGTTTGCGGACGGTAGCGCTAGGACCTTCGGTGGAGCTCCCTATGGGGCCACGAAGCGCTGCCCTGGGTGTGCGGGACGCATGCGGACGGTAGCACTGGGACCTTCGGTGGAGCTCCCAATGGGGCCACGAAACGAATTACTGCGTGTGCGGGACGCATTCGGACGGTAGCACTGGGACCTTCGGTGGAGCTCCCAATGGGGCCACGAAACGTTTTACTGCGTGTGCGGGACGCATGCGGACGGTAGCACTGGGACCTTTGGTGGGGCTCCCTATGGGGCCACGAAACGCTGTACTGGGTGTGCGGGACGCATGCGGACGGTAGCACTGGGGGCGTTCGGTGGAGCTCCTTATGGGGCCACGAAGCGCTGTACTGGGTGGGTGAAACGCAGGGAGGAGGGGGAGGAGGGTCACGAAACGCTGTACTGGGTGTGCGGGACGCATGCGGACGGTAGCACTGGGACCTTCGGTGGAGCTCCAATAGGGCCACGAAATGCTGTACTGGGTGTGCTGGACGCATGCGGGCGGTAGCACTGGGACCTTCGGTGGGGCTCCCTATGGGGCCACGAAGCGCTGTACTGGGTGTGCGGGACGCATGCGGACGGTAGAGAGGAGGGGGAGGAG